GGCGTGGCGCTTCTCCTGCCAGGCAGATCGGGATAGACCACGCCAGGGGGTATTGGCGCGACCTCGTAGCTGTATCTGGGCCCCTTCGCTTTCGTCGCACCGAAGTCGTGTGGGGGGTCGGCGGCGCTCATGGGCACGAACCCGGCGGGGAGCTGCTGCTCAACCTCGTTGGCAATGCCGACGGCGCTGGGCGTGGTCAGGTAGAACTCTGGCAGCGGGAGTAGCGGCCGCTGATCAGAGTCGGAGACAGCGCAATTTGCGGCGTCAGCGGGCAGCGGCAGGGACGGCTGATGCATCTTTGGGCTCAATAGATGCGGCTGGTTGGCCACAGCGATCGTCGAGGCCCGGGAAACCGTGGCGGTGGTCTATGGTGCGTTGCGGGCAGACAGGTCAGCGGGTCAGTGTGTAGCGATAGCGATACGGGATGGAACTCACTGGCGACTCCACCATGATGTCGGGGATGCCGCCGCTGCTCCCCGACTGGCGGGTCCGGAAGCGCTTCTTGAACAAGCGTTCCAGCGGCATCCCCGCGCCCGATCTGCGTTGACGCTCCAAAGGAGACTCCCGCTCTCGCTCGCGCCTGACAAGCTCTGGTGCCTGCGCCGGCGGGTTGTATGCCTGTGGCAGTGGGTTGTTAATGGCCATGGCCGGCCCCCGGGGCGCCATCGCCTGCCGCTGCCGCTTTGGATGCATGCAGAACAACCAATGTCAGAACAATGCAACACTTAAAGGTCTCCGGCAGGATGTACGTCCTGCTCCCGCGCAGTCCGCTCTCGCTCTTTCTCGCGCACGCGTGACCTCTCCCTCCTCGACTGCGGCCGCAACGTGCCAATCATCTGCCACAGGCCCGGGAGCGCATCCATGCCACTGCCGCTGCTGCCGCTGCTCGATCTGCCGTTGCCGTTGCCATTGCCGTTGCGCGCGCTGACAAGGTTGTACTGCAAGATGTTGGTCGATGTCCTGGACTGCAGGGAGAACGGGGCGCCAGGGTTGGAAAACGCGCGGTGCGTCGGGGCCTGAGCGGGCACCGCATCGTGCACGTATGCATAGTCGCGCGTGCAGACCCCAGGATCGTCGTGCGCATGCAACGCGGTCCTGGGGCTGGGCAAGCACAGGGTGATGGGCCGCGTGAGCTCATGCAGCAGTGGCAGGGCCATGATGTGGTCGCTGCTCGTTGTCCGGCGGGACGTCCACCGGGGGGGTGCAAAGGCCATAGCGGTGCGTGAGGGTCCCTCATTCTGCCAGAAATACCCATTGGTTGACATCTGCTCGCACTGCTGTTGCACCCATTGAGGTGTGGTAGCCATGGTGAATGCTATTTTGGTCTGCATCAAAATCTTTTGGGACATGCTCCATTAGGATTTAGCGAGAGCAACTCCATATGGTATGCTAGACAGACATTTGCAACATGTAGTTCTATGGCCAGTCCTCAATTGGGTCCTCGTCATCAATGTTTACCTGTGCACATTCTTCGTCCCATGTCTCTACTATCTCGTCGTCCTCGAGTGTGCCATCATCTCTTATCTCGGCATCAGTATTTTCCCACACATACTCCGGTGTGATCGGGCCTGGTCGCTGTCTGCGTAAGGGAAGATTGTGCGGATTTGATACCGGACGATGCCGGGCACGCTTGATATCCGGGCGACCAGGCCATGGTTTGCAGGCAACAATTCCGCCAGGCACAACCTTTGTCATGTCGATGTTGCAGCGCTCGTGCTCGGGTATCTTGACAAATCGTATGATCCCACGCTCGCACCGGAAGATCAAGTTGTCGAAGACTCGGGTGCCACCAGGAAGATTGCTGGGATTCTTGAACGGGACATGTGGACTCCATCCCTGTAAGGCAACCCAATACTTGTTCCACATGTGATTGATATACGATTGCGGGGTCCAGCGCATCCGCGCATTCGGATCCCCAGTGACTTTGCCTGCAGTGCCCATATCGAGTAAGTCTTTAACCCTGTATCAGAAATACATACAATTCAACTCACGCAATGCATCCTGGATGACTGCGCGCAGTATGCCACGCTTTTGCGTGAAGGATGTTGCATAGCTCGGAGCTGACTGACTGCTGCCAAGATCAACACGGACCATACTGTTTTTGTTACCATGTATACCAAGTTGCGCAAATATACAAAGTTTACTTACTTGTGTATTTGCTTTGGAGATGAGTCTGTACGTCAAAGCAAGCAGTCAGAATGCGAGGTGCGAGAATGCCTGAAGGACATGCAGTGCAATAAATAAAGTTGTTGAGATACTACAAATAGGTACAGTCGGGCTAGACACCCATCGCAGTCAGGAAGATCATTGACTAAAAATAGCCATAACGCAACACATTCTGCTCAATAGTGCACTGTACTATTTCAAGCCGTCGTCATGACTCGCTATGTTGCAACATGTTCGGGTAGCTGCAAGTGCATTTGTTTTTTGCGCATGTAACAGCAATTGACTCAATGTTCACGTAGACTCGTCTGACAAGATGCGCGGCATCGGCCTCCACAGACTCTCACGAAACTATATATAAAGCCACAGCTGCAGCTTGTTTCCCGCATCATCCGCACTCCAGTGGACAACCGAGTGCTGTCACTATGTGGCTGGAATGCCAATGGTCTGGCTGGTATGCTCGCTACAAGCAATTGGGTGCGTATCATCCTCCGTCTGCTGCCCGTCGAGTGTTCATGAGGGAGCGTCGAGCTCGTTAGCGCAGTACAACGCTCGCGCGTCGGATGCACCTGCCGTTCTCCGTGAGTACATGACCGTCTGACTGGTGCCGCCAGTGCTGACTGTTTACCCCGGAGGCTCTGAGCATCATGCGCTCGGTCCCCAGATCTTGACACATGTTGTACACGGCAATTGTGTGCCCATGGTGACGCTGGTTCGAACTGTGCGCGCGCGCTCCCCGGTCCCGTCCCGTCCATTCTTCAGCGATCAGCGGAAACTCACGCGCCGACGTCCTATCGCTCCTCTCATGCGGTGTGTGTGCCGCACCCATCCTCTTCACAGAAGCGCACTGACCAGACTCTTGACCCTTTGCCTCCACGGAGCATAGGTTATGCAGAACGCTGCCCGCGCGCTGCCCGCGCGCTGTGCGCACACGCACGGTACGTGTCTGCGCTGTCATCTCTCATCTCTGGCAGCGCCGTGGCTGACCGCTGGTGCCGCAGCATTGCCGTGTCAAGAGGACACCGGCGTTCGACCAGCGGCGTGCGCTACGGGTGCAGGCGCGCGTGCGGGCTCAGGCTGACTCTCGCAGTGGCTCCGACTCAAATAACCTGGATGCGCGCTGTGGGTCTGCGCATCCAGCTCGACACGGAATATGTGCTTACGTGGTCTCACGGCATCGGGTGCACTGCGCAGGCAGCCGTACGACTCCAGGCGCGGGAAGGTGTCCGCCGTCACCGTCGAGGGCGACTTGGAGTTGCGCTCCAAGCCCGAGCCGGAGCCCAGGCTCAATATTCCCGGTGGGGAGCGTGTTGAGTTGGGCGAGATGGGCAACGCAGGGGCGCTGACGCTGGGGCCGTGACCGCGCCACGAGACGGAGCGTGCCCACACAGGCTTGTTCGCCTTGGTCGCGACGGTGCGCGTGTGCCCACTGAAGATGAAGAGCTGGTCGTGCCGCCGCGCCCACGACGCGCGGCGCAAATCGCGCACCCCGCACAGCCGACCATACTCACGCTGCATCAAGTGCTGCGTGATCGCGTCGTTCTGCGGTGACCGGCACGATCACACGGCAGGTATGATCTACGGTGCGCGTTGTATCCTTGCCATTCGGTGATTGACTGACGTACGCCCGCCCTACCCCTCGTCGCGACGCCACGAGATGGGCTGCTCGCTCGCCGACGCTGCCCAAAGCTGCCCGGCGACCTCGCGAAGGGCCATCCGGTCGTGAGCAGGCCGCCCGTGCGGCCGGTGCGTCCTTCTCGCGTCTCGGCCATCTTGACCAGCCGATCTGCATAGACCAGGCCTGCCAGTGTACATACCAGGAGTAGAAATATATTCGTTTGTCTGCTCGGGTGCCGGTCGTCTCTGTCCGGCGTCCCCCGGGCTTCCGCTGTACGTGCGTCTCTATAAAGTA